TTAGCTTTTTATGTCAAAAACGAAGTGTTCGTCACAGTAAATTTACAAAGGGTGTAATGCTGCCCTACCGGGGTTTGCAGGCAGGCCGTTTGTGTAGCCCAACTCACAATTCAATTTTTCGTGAGATTTCTCTGGAAATTTCCAATGAATAAGTTTACTACCACTCACAGCGGTAAAAAAGCTCAAATCAACTTTCAGACTTAGTTCGAAGACGTGAGAAATTTGTACTTCTCATTGTCCGTCGTCGCGTTTATACGACAATTTCCAGCAAATGAAGGTGATTTTAGAAAATTGAAAGAACCGAAAAGCAGTCGAAGTGCCTCGTTACGGTTTAACAGGACATAAATCACTAATTGATCCTTTTCAGAAGTTCTTTATTGTTTTGTGTTAGTAAATCGACGGTTTTGTAGGAAGAATTGAGATGAAGCCCCCGGGAGTAAACGTAAAGGAGTAAAGGTTAATGATCACTTACTTCTCTTTATTGAACTTAAATCTATGTAAAAGATTTCGTATACCTCAAACTGTCATGTCATAAGTGACATTTCTACCCAGCGTACGAACTTTGAGAAGAGAAATTGTTGGCCACGGCTAGGCAAGGGTCCTCCCCGAATGAATGTTGGCTTTTGATCTAGAACAACGATGCTTCTCAATGCGCGTGAGGTACGGAAAAAGATATGTACATCCATAAACTATAATATGAATGAATAATCTATTATTATTAAATGGGTTTAGGATTGCGTTATGGGTAAAAGAAAGATAAGTAATTAAATTAAAACATATAGCATAATCTAAACAGAAACGTGGTTAGCCAAATAAGGAATCCTATGAAAATTAATTAAAATTACCTCGGAATGATATCAACAATGACCCATTCACGTAAATACGTTTAGATATATAAAATCGGTAATTTTAACTAGATGGCTTTGGGTTTTCCACTTCAGATTTCAACAACTTTCGGAAAGTAAAGTTTCATTCAACGACAACGTTAAAAGTGATATCCCCAATCCCCATTCGAACCAATGTATGCTCGCGTAACGCACTAAAAACGCATTCAGTGAATCACTCAAACAAAGGGTACATCTTGTTTACCTAAGAAGATCTTTCAAAAAGTTTTCTTCGTCTTTGTTTAGGAATTTTCCTAGGATACGTTTAATGAACTTCTCAGAAGCTCCTTGTAGAAAATCGTAATTTCTTTTATTTACCTATAGACCACCATCTCACCAGTCTTCCCCAAAGTTGACCATGTAAATTTTATTAACATTTTTTTGGGAATTAACAAACGGCAAATATGTGTAGCGAGCCCTTTTGAAATTTTGTTGAAATTCTTGAAAATCTGATAAATGTCCCTTGAGAAACTTAGGAATATTCCTTAAATCAGAAATTTTGTTATCCTACGGAAACGTTATTGAAAATATGCGCAGTAGTTTTATTACAACATTTATAGGAAAATCATCCTGACATCTCCGAAATCGTAGAATGTGTTTCCTGTAAAGGATTATTAAAATTTACTAAACATTCTTGTCTTGCTAGTGTTTTAGATCTGTTCTTGTGTTAATTGTAATAAAAACAATTATTTTAACAAAGAGTGATACCAAAACGAGGTTTAAATGTTATCGCTATTGTAAAAATGTTTATTCAGACTTGTGTATTTAATTTTAAAATGTGAAATTGCGTGTTAAAATGTAGGGTCATCTGTTCGTTTGCGATAAGGAGTATTATCGGACCAAATTTAACTAACGCATGTGTTCTAATCGCTGCGCTGTTAAAAAATAACGATGCAGTTAATTCGCCGTTTGCAACCGTTCCATAAGAATATTTAAATTGTTTTTACGACCGCCGAAAGCTTTCTTACTAGGAAAGAAGAGAGAATCAATCTTATTAAGTTTTAGGTCCGTTAATTACCCATTAATTGTTTTTAATTTTCTAATGTTGTACGAATATTCAGGATTAAACCGGCAAGGTCGTGTAGTTTAAGGAAAATATCAACGTGATAAAAGATTACGCCGCTTGACCTCACATTCCAAGGAACAAGATGGCATTGCGGGACTGCCCAATTTGGAGATTTGATTCCGATTATTTGGATGAGTATAATTAACTGTAATTGGTTGATGGGCTACAGTAACCGGTTCCGTTTCAGTGGAAATATCCGGTAGGTGCGCTCTTAAAAAACTTGAATTTTACCACCGGTCCCGTATTTTTAAGAAGTTTCTACTGTCCGAGCAGTCACCGAAAGTTTTGTTCGTTTTATTTATCAAGCCAGTTCGAGTCATCGAGTTCAGTTTATTAAAGAAGTAGTTTCCTTCAGTGAGTCTTTGTGTTTTAAATAGGTGCGCCTGAATATCGCAAACTTTTTTATGACCAGATTATTTTATTAAAGAAAAGAAAACTGTAAAGTAATTTAACTTTTTTTTTAATTTTTAAGAACCGACCGCCTGCGTGTGGCGGTATTATGTCCAAACAAGCTTTGTAAACGCTTTTTTCTTACAGGGATTTTGTTCTAATCGTTTCATGTGTTTCGGAATAAATTTTTGTCATTGTGAATTAATTAATTGTGTGTTTATTCGAATCCTTTGTGCGATCCAAATGGAGTTTTCATGTTTTGGACAGATCTTATAAACCTTTGTTGCGATAATTCATGAGAGGCTTTTCTGGAATAAGGTACTTCCAATATTATTTTGGGTAGATGCATGTTGCAGTCTTCATTTCATATTATACCATACGCGAGGTGTTGATTTATCAATATATTTTGTTGTATTATTGATTATACCTTGTTTTTAAATCGATTAAATTGAAGAGTTGTGAAAATTGAATTTGTTTGGGGTAAGCTATAGCTGTGATACTGCACCAACTACGACTGCAAAAAACTGAACGTTCTCTATAAACAAAGATGTAAACGTTGCCGAGGGAGAGACATGGGTACAATTCTTGACGTTCCTTTTTTTTCCTTTATTAATAATCACAGATCCTTGAACGCATGAAAAGCAAATCCATTAGAAAAGCCTTCATTTTGGCTCGGATGATGGCAGATTTTCATTTTCTTACTGCCGACATCTTACAGATTAATATGTCAGTTTGAAATAGAAATACGGTTCGTATAAATTGAACGGATCATAGATATTCCTAAAATAGGATTTAACCTCCTCACTGTTATTACCATTATTCCGCTCCAAATAATGTCTAGCGTAATGGCATTCTTTCAGCAAGCTGTCTCCGTGCGATTGTGGGCTCAATATTTACGGATTTTAATTTATAACTTCCACAAGATGAAACGAATGATGGCATAATTCGATTATTCAATACCGCTACTCGTAATAGTAATAATTAAGATTATTTTTTAAAGCGGGAAATAAGAACTTTCGTAATACTTTCCTCGAAGATTTCCCCGAGGTATCGTTCGTAATAATTATTAACATAGTAGCAACGACGAGCGCGATATGACTTTCTTTTATGTCATTTCAAATAGAATGCGAAAAATTGTAAAACAAAGAACAGGAAGGGTCCGCATAATACATTGTTTCAGTAACCAGTAATGCAATGAAGGTTCTTCTGTAAAATAATAACATTCAGTTATTGTGGGTTACATTTCAATATATGTTATGACTGACACGATTCGGTTAATCATTTGGGATACGTATCTAAAACATTCACGTTATAAATCCTCTATGTCGATTTACAATGGGAATTAATGGGAATGGTCTTTTACACCTTCCAATTAATCGATACATCTGAAACAACCATGATGAATAAATACGTGACCGATGGTATAAACAATAAAATGCTTGAGCCCAATCCATTATAGTTCTAGGAAGTAATAAATAAACGAAATGGATATTCAACTTGTACAAAAAGCGCTCGGGAGGTCTGTCAAGAAAAATCTTTTGGTAGAGTAACTTTACTAGAGTAAAAAAGGAACAATTTGGTCGTTCAATGCGTAAACCATTACTAAAAATGCGCAGAATCGACGAAATTGAATAGTACGGAAGGAAAATGTGAAATGTGGTCAAGCATTTTGTTAATTATATTCAGTTGGAATCCCCATAAGGAATATTGAAAAGGGAATATCGTTTCATTTATATTGAATAATTGAATTGAATACGTTATTTAATTTTGTTTATAATTTACGAAACTGGTCGAATTGCACCGAAATTAAAGCGCGTAAAAGCCGCCGATAGGGGCGTGGGCCGAGGACAGACTTAATTACACTTAACTTTGTCGAAATTATGCTGTGTGCTTAATTATGATTAATTACAACTAATCCGCGTAAAAGTTTATGCCTTTGCTAATTACGCAAGCTGCAAGTAATTTTTAAAACTTATGATTGATTAATTCTTTTTATTATCCCTGTATAATTGACTCATATTAAAATTTTATCACTTCATGGATATGAATTGAAGTGTTACAAAGAGAGTTATACTGATTTAGGTGGGTTTACTGCTGCTGGCAGTAAGGTCAAATAGTGCCTTAAATTTTGGGTTCTGTAGGAAGCAGAGCTAGGCAGAACTACGCCTATTATAATAAAGTCAGTCAGTCAGTGGGGCCATTGAGTCTGCAACGTTCGTTTTGTAGTACGCAGGCCATTTCAACCCCTAACACTGTAGCCAATCGGTGCCCAGTAACGCGTTGGCTCACGTATGAACTATCGTAGAGTTTCTCTTCCTAAACAAGGACGCTTACCCATTGCTGTATATTTCAACTATTCTGTACTATACAATCTCACACCATTAAATACATTCGTTCAGTGGAAAACAATTCGTTAAAGTTTCCACTGTGTTTTTATACTGTGCGTATGACTATCCCTAAAGTAAGTATTAGGGAAAGTTACAGAAGAGAGTAGGGGGTATATTAAAAATTAATTAGCACATATTGCGGCATATTGTAGGATAGTCTCCTTTATAAAATTGAGAGTAAACCTCCGGATAATTACGTATTGTAAGTGGAGGTTAATTAAAACCCGAAGTTTGTTCGACTACTAATTAACAATGGAAAATATAAGCACTTACCGTTCATATTAAGCTCCGTTGCTGCTTTACTGTTATCTCTGCTGTTGTAAGCTGTATTGTATCCTGTTGTGTTAGTACCATATGACGATGAGCCCGAGCTAGTGCTCCGTCGACCGTTAATCTGACCTACGTTAACGTCGCCGTCCGAAGGGTGTAGATAATGCTCACCGTACCGATGCGTATACGTCGAAGTTCTATGCTGATGAATGGAGTTCAAAATTATATTTGATGACGTTCTGGAGAGCGCTTTCCTTTGTCGTATCGCCTCCTTGTATATTCTACAGTACATCGTAACCATAACAACACCAGGTATCCAAAAACTGATCGAACTGCTTATAATCGCGTAGTACTTATTCACAACGAAAATGCACACATGAGGATTATTCAGTCTGAACTGTTCATGTTTCGCCGTCGTATACCATCCCAAAAAAATGGGCGTGAAACTCATTAACGCTGGTAAAACCCAGCAACACGCTAGCATAAAACTAACCGTTTTAGACGTCATAGTAATTGGGTATTCTAAAGGCCTAACGATCGCATAGTAGCGATCCACACTAATGCAGCACAAATGGAGAATCGACGCCGTCGAAAAGTAGACGTCAAACGAGTTCCAGACGTCGCACATGTAGTATCCGAAAACCCATTTTCCGTCAGTTAATTCGACACTCGCGTTAAACGTCATTGCACAAAGCGCGACCAACATGTCGGCCATCGCTAGGCTAACTACGTAATAATTTGTTATAACCCGTAATTTACGATGTCTGTGCACACTAATTATAACGAGAGCGTTACCTAAAACCGCACTTAAAATTATCGTCACAAATATAAATCCCTTCACGATTAATATTAATAAATCCGTCCAATCCGGGTGAGGGTTTTCTATGCTGGTCGCGTTGCTGTGGTTGTGAATTTGCGAGGAGTTGTGCAAACCGTTTATTACTAGCGGTATTGTGGCCGTGCTAGCTGTTAAAGTAGTTGAAAACGAAGCCATCGCGTTCACTAACATTGTTTAAGAGTTGCCTCCGATTGTTTAAAATTCAATTCGGCTTTGGTAATCAGCAAACCCTTTGTATATTCCTCAATCGCCGCTGATATCGTAATCGCCTCTCCAAGGTACGAAATGAACTTCCATTGTGACAACCACAATGGGGGACATTTTCATTCATCATTTGTCTACCTTCGAAAGCACTGCTCCATTATATCCTGCAAATAATTAATCGCATTAATAAAGTGCTAAGTAGAAATTAATGTAAAGTGAAACAGCAGAGATATTTTCCCCAATTCGGTACAAACAAATTTGTATTCAACCGATGCTACTACACTAGTTTCAGGCTGTACAATAAAAAATAGGCCTTTGGACTGCTTAGTTCATTGTCCGACTCAAATTTAACATTCATATTGCGACAGGATTTTCCACAGGGAATTCAAGTGTCGATTTGGAAGGATGGTAGCATGTACAGGATTTTCAAGGGTCGTGACGTTCAGAAATTGTATTAGCTTTGAGTTCAAGCCAAGAACTTGGCGTCGGCGTCGGGAAAAATTCAAATTTCACAAGGGATATTCATTTACAAGGATACATCTGAATACATCAATGCACTGTTTCTTTTCTACAAGACGAAACTTTTTGCGACTGTTAGGGGTTTTTACAGAACCTATGATAGGTAGCGCCATTTTGGCACGATAAGCTGAGGTTCATTAGAAATAGAGTACGGTACAGCTATGCAGCTTGAAGTGACTAGTTGTTTCTAAGAGATAGGAAAGAGGAAATTAGTCTTAAGCCGTCTAAAAGAGTTCATTACGAATAACAATTACTATTACGAGTAGAACCGCGATAGAGGGTTAGGTCATTGCGAGTAATTAGAAAACAATTTTGTGTTGAGCCGTCATAGAGTTCAAGTCAAAAAATGGTATTTAAAGTTAGTAAAAAATCGTCTGTAAATCCACAAAACTCGAAGGGCTGCAGTTAATCGAATTCAAAAAACGCGAAAATGATTAATCCGTGTTGCTGATTGAATTCAGGTGTGTTACGCATTGTAAAATAAAAATTGCAAGACGAAGATTTATCTTTGTAGTAATATCCTTAAAATAAAAGGTTTATTAGCAGCTGAATTAATCGCACGTTGTGAAGAGATCATTGCAAAACAAATTCGCTGTTGTAAATTGTCGTCGTAATGATAGTGAACGCGCTAATTCGTATTCAGAACTTCCGGAAAATGTTAAAGGTACGAATGGACTTTTTCCGTGCATAAATTACAGTTAGTGACTGCTCGATCAATAAGGATTCGTAAGCGGAAGTTAAGAGTTTGTTTTTCTTTATAATACGTTTATAATAACTCATATGAAAAAAGCGAAAAGCTAATGATAGCAGATTGTAAAATGTAAAGTATATTCAGTTGTACTATAGCGAACCCATCGGTTCCAGAAACTGCTATAATTAAGGTAACGTAAACTTTTGGATTTGTATAAAAATAACGATCGGTTCTCTTTAAAAAATGGCAGATATTTGACTTTCAGGAAGTAACAGAAGGCCAAACTGCCGCTTTTGAGCTAGCCGTTGACCAGGTAAGATTTTTTTTTAATCATCGTTGTGGTAGAAAGTTAATTTTAATTAACACGATCAAGACCCCTGTACTGTAAAAAAAATTGTTACAGTGTGGGAAGAACAGATATGGCTAAATATCTTACCCGTAGGGCTTGCATTAATTATTTTCTATTAATAATATTGTTATTTCATTCATGGGATCTATCTATCCCTTGGCCTATTTATTATTACAGTGTTCAGTTTAATATTGAGTGTGTGTATGTGTGTGGAATTAACTACATTAAATCAAGTGGGAAGTTATAAATATTCACACTGTCGGGCGGTAATTGGTTTACTTCGCAAGTTCAATCTACATTAAAAAGTTTTACACATCAATTAAACGATAATACTAGCCATAAAAATTAAAACCACCCGATCGATTTGAGCAAAAAAAAAATGGTTAGGGTACAGTTGGGAACCGACCGCAGAAGATAAATGGGATAAGCTGCGGTTTTCAATGGCATCATATTGGAAACACGTTACGTTTGCAGTATTGCGTTTTTTCAACAAGGGACACAAACCATCGCTTTTGTTACGCTACATTTAATTATGTGCAAGATAACTTGTTTGGGATACCCCGAAAGTATTTCGATATAAATAACTTTTAATAGGATGGATATTACGCTTTTAGGTTAAAATATGAAGCAATTTGTAAGGAAATTACCGAAACCCTCCGCTTGAGAATGTGTGGGTTTTTGTACTGAATTAGATAAGGCTTTTCCATTACGTTTTGTTACTGGAAACGGCGGCGCAAGTGAAGTATAGGAATTAAGTTCTCTTATTATGTGCGTCGATCATATGTTGTAAACTGGTCTGGCTAGTAAGGTACAAGCCGATATTAAACCAATAATATTCAATGCTATATGAACTAATTACGTACGGTTGGTACGTTGGTTGTATGTATAATCCAGTTTAGTTTGGAGTAGGTATCATTATTGTAATCGTGCTGCATATTCGATTACGTGTACCTGCAACAATAAACAAATTCAGTGTTTGACAAATACTGTAAGTACATTCAATTAAATGAGATGAGCACTTTTTTTATAACAATCAGTTTTTGCTTTTTCGGTCTAAATAAATAGACTGTCGATAAGTGTTCTTAGATTAAATTGCATCCATCCAATTGGGCTTAAGAATGCCGTCGGGAGGTTTCTTCAAACCGATTAATGATGCTAATGTTTCAGGAATCGTCTATACTCCGTTTCGTTCCGTCGGAGTGTTGCACTTTTTTCCCCATTTTCAATCAGTATTGTTTCCGTAAGAAATAAAACGCAAATAAAATCTTTGTTATTTACTACACTTTCAATTTCTTGTACAGTACGGATGTTGTTTTTTGTCTGAGTGACAGTTAGCGATTACGATCAATTACTCTTTAGATGTAGCAAAAAGAACCCTGCCTTAAATAGTTGGTCTATTATTAAAGGAATACATTCACAAATGTTTTGTAAGGGTTTAATGAGTCTCTCTGTCTTATACATGTATCGGTGTCTGTCGATTCTATCATGAAATGTATTGTCCTTACATCTTCCCTCAACTACGTTCTTCCCTGTCGAAGATTTTTTTTCAAGTCAATTACGCAACGAAACGCCGGTCACTTGTATATTCTAGCACTGTCTCGGTGATTTGTCTTATGACAGACGGAAACACTGTTTGTCTTCAAGTGGCATCTTATGGTTTATTAATTTGGTTAAAATTGTTGTCACTTTTAGCGTGGTACTGGAATTGATTCCTCTATAGTTTTCCATTTCTTTTCCATCCTCCATTAGAATTAGTACAGTTATTTTCCATTGTTTGGGTTACTGTGTGGTGGTCATTCACCTTATCAGTATCTTTTCCTTCTGTGAGTCCTCCACTCCACTACTGCACTTGTGTAGCCTGTTGGTCTGTTGTGATTTCAGTTGTTTCTATATCTCTTGGTGTGGTTTGGTCTGAATACAATATTCCCAAGTAGTCTTTCCATGTGTCCATATTTATGTGCTTGATCTCTCATTTCCTGTTTCGGTCCACGTAACAATACCATGCTCTAGATTTTTGAGAAGCATTCCCTGCGGTTGTTTTTGCTATTCAGACATGTTTCTTGTTACGAATTTGTTTATGTAGATATCCTATTTTCTTTTCTTGCATTTTTCTTTCTGGCCGAAGGATTCTTAAGCGGAGTTTGGTGTATTAGTTGGATTCCAGTGTTCGATAAAAGTTCTTTATATCTTCAAACTACTGTTTGAAAATCGATTTTTAAACATGCCGGCATAAGTATTAAGTACGGGTTTTAGGATGGAGATGGCGTGTGGTCACTACACCACCTACAAAACATCGGTCCAGCTAGCTCAAAACAAATCAAAATTGACCCTTAGAATTTTATAAAGTCTCCTCGTGCACATCCGGCATGGTCTATAAATAAAAATCCTAATACTGACTCAATGTGAGAGCCTCGGTGGCCTGCATCAACTTCCGAAAATTCCAAAGAATGAAAGAAATCTTGAACACACATAGAAAATATGACATAAACGCTCTATCTGGGTGGCACAAACTATTCGACACAATTAATTGATTGACAATAACAAAAATTTATTCCAAAACATATGAAACAATTAAAACAAAATACTTGCAAGAAATAAAAGCTTACAAAGCGTGTTTGGACATAATTCCCCGCACGCAAGCGATCGATAAATAAAATCAAAAAATCTCAAAATTACTTAGTTTTTAAGAATCCAAATAATCTGGTCGTGGAAGGTTTGCGATATTCAGGCGCACTTATCAAAAAATAAAAACACTCGCCGGCAGCTTCAAGAACCTTCACAATGACGTGGATTGGCTTGATAAATAATATGAGAAAAATTTCGGTGGTTGTTCGAACGTTAGAAACTACTTCCACTCCAACTAACTTTTTTCTGAATGCAGAGCAAATCATTTTAAAAACTGTTCACAAACTTTTAGTGGTCTACTCGACTACAATCTAAATCTTTTATTATGAAACCGACGAAACAACCCAGGCTGACAGCCCGTGATTTAGCGTAAATAAATTTACACGCTCTTTTTACCATCGCGTAAAAAAAACATATAGCAGCTGTGTTCTATGTTGATTCCAGTATTTAAAGAAACACCACTTCCACCATACAATAATCTCCTTCCTCTATATCTTTTAAATCAAGCGCCAATCACAATCAGACTTGATAATAGCGCCCGGTTCTGCATCTCAGTTATCATTTCCAGCAGCGATAACACCTGCCCTATTAAATTTCGTAGGCTAATAAAACTTCTTATCGCAAACGACCAAATGTCCTTACGCCGATCTGAGTTAATTGTTATATGGGAAACTAACGTAAACAGGGTTATGTAAAGCTGCACATATGGATTATTAACATTGGAAATGTTTATGTTTGTGTATGGGTACTACAAAGTTTCGTTCAAGGTCAAAACACAAGGTTGTCGCTTCAAGTGATGATTGTACCATAGTCACTTCGTTCAGCTCTAGTCCAAACTTCAAAGTTGAAGAAAAGTTTATATGAGATCAATCAAGGGATAAATTGAATGGGGTTTTTTAATTATTTGAGTTGTTTGGAACCTGTACTTACTCCTTCACATAATCATAACTACTAATAGTCAGGAAAATGACACGTTACTG